TTTAGTCTATTTTCTATTAATAAAATGATGCTTGACCTAAAATTGTTCATTGTATCTTTTGACCAAAGTATGACATGCGAAAAAAAAAATCAGAATTCATTACAACCTATAAAAAAATTGTTAAACCATTTTGTTAAGAAGAGGTGGAAAATCAAATTTTACAAATTTGAGAACAGAATTTTTATTATTTATATTTCCTTGTGTTGAAAGATTTTTTTTATTTTACCAAATATTAATAAAATACATTTATAATGGTTCACTGAAGAACTTCTAAAGGGGAAATATTCCTTGAGACAGGTTTATTTAGATGATGGAATGAAAAACTCTTCATTATAATGAATAAAACAATCAAACAGAGTCCCTGGGTGGTGCAAAAGGTTAAGGGCTCAGGTGCCAACCAAAGGGTTGGCGTTCCAGTCCACCCAGAGGCACCTCAGAAGAAAGGCTTTGCTATCTACTTCTGAAAAAAACTCTGTTGAGAACAGTGAAAACCCTATAGAGCACAGTTTTACTCTGACTCACATGAGGTTGCCATGAACCAGTGGAGTCTACTCAACAACAACTGGTTTAGATAAAAAATAAGACATGAAAAATCACCATTCATAATTTTAAAAATATTATTTGTACATAATGTTTATATTCTGCTGCCTAAAAGCAGACTCCAGATTGCAGAAGCACACATCTCAAGACGTGTCATAATACATACTATGGTGTCATGCCGACCAACAACTTCAAATGAAAAGTCCACACCTCCACCGCTCATTTCCTTCAGCACCTCGTGGATGGGTTTCTCAAAGTCCTGTGGGCTGATGCACTCAGTGGCCCCCACCTCTTTGGCCTTTGCAAATTTTTCTTTGTTGACATCCACTGCAATGATCCTGGCTGCTCCTGCTGCCTTACAGCCCATGATGACACACAGGCCAACTCCTCCAAGGCCAAACACAGCACAGCTGGAGCCCTTGGTGACCTGTGTTTTCAGAAAACACAAGAATGGATTAATTATGATTGTTCAGAACAGTCTAAGCTGTATAAAGTGCCAGACTTTGTCCATTATGAAGAGCTACTTGAACTTTCATATCCAACCTGCTGTCAATCTTCTTTTTGTTTCATGTTTAAATTGAAGAGGTTAAACTAGATCAGTGATTCTCAAACTTGGTTGTACATTTGGCTCACCTAGGGAGTGTTAAAAAATGTCAGTGTTAGTTTCTAAAATCTACAGGAAAATGCAACACTTCTACAAAAAAAGACAATCCAATTAAAAACGGGCAAAGGATACGAACAGATACTTCATCAGAGAAGACATTCAGGCAGCTAACAGACATACGAGGAAATGTTTGCCATAATCGGTCATTAGAGAAATGCAAATCAAAACTACAATGAAATACCATCTCATGTGGAGATTACTGGCACGAATCAAAAAAACAGAAAATAACAAATGTTGGAGAGGTTGTGAGGAGATTGGTACTCTTATGCACTGCTGGTGGGAATTCAAAATGGTACAACCATTTTGGAAAATGATATGGCACTTCCTTAAAAAGCTAAAAACAGAAATACCACACCATCCAGCAATCCCACTCCTAGGAACATATCCTAGAGAAATAAGAGCAGTCACACAAATAGACATATTAACACTAATTTTCATTGCAGCATAATTCATAATAGCAAAAAGATGGAAACAACCTAAGTGCCCATCAACAGACAAATGGATAAACAAACTATGGTGCATACACACAATGGAATATTATGCAAAAATAATGAAGAATGATGAATCTGTGAAGCATCTCACAACATGGATGAATCTGTAGGACACTTGCTGAGTGAGATATGTCAACCACAAAAGGATAAATGCTGTGTGAGACCACTATAATAAAAACTCATGAAAAGGTTTATACACAGAAAGAAACAATCACAGATGGCTACAAGGCAGGGGAGGGGTGGGGATGGAAAAACACTAAATAGGCAATGGATAAGTGGTAACTTTGCTGAAGAGTAGTACAGTACACAGTACTGGGTAAGTCAGCACAACTTGACCAAGACAAAGTGATAGAAGCTTCACAGACACATCCAAACTCTTTGAGGGACCAAGTTACTGAGCTGAGTACTGGGGACTATGG